AAACCTTGCCACGCAAAACCAACACAACCTGCTCCTTCCTGGTTTTACCAGCTAGGTCAGAAAACACGTATTCTTGAGACAAGGGAAACTGTTCTGCAAGGATCCCTCCTACAGCCTGTTCCACCTTCTGTATATCCTGTGTCAGAAGTTGTGATGCACCCTAAAATTTCAGATAATCTGCACCAAACCAGAAGCAGTAGTTTCTCGGACACTGGTTACTGGGTTCTCCATTTGGTATATGTTCACAATAGATGTTTTATCCCAGGTGCCTATACTGGGACTACTACTAGGTCCTCTTCTAGCAGAGGCACTTCACAGCCAGTGTCTGGGATGGGCTCCCTCCAACTCCATACTCTGCAGCTTTTACTGTGCAGGAAACCCCTGCACAGCATATCCCTTGGGTAGGAGAGGTGATAGAGGCCTAGGGTTTGGTCCTCCCTTGTTCTTTCATTGAGTTATTCAAGAAGTAGTTGTTTTTTAGCTGTTTTGGGGTGAGTAATTCCCTACCTCCTTCTCTACCACAACTGAACACTCATAGAATCCTATGAGGTTTGGGTTGGAAGGGACCTTAAAGACCATCTAGTTCCAACCCCCCCGCCATGGCCAGGGACACCCTCCACTAGACCAGGTTGCCCAAAGCCCCATCCAACCTGGCCTTGAACACTTCCAGGGAGGGGTTAGCCACAGCTTCTCTGGGCAATCTGTTCCAGTGTCTCACTGCCCTACAGTAAAGAATTTCTTCCTAATACCTAATCTAAATCTCCTCTCCTTCAGCTTAAGACATTACCCCTTGTCTTATCACTACATGCCCTTGTAAATAGTCCCTCTCCAACACTCCGCAGTGCTGTTTAGTTAGAGTTGTGTTTTGTCGAGGTGGGTTTTTCTTGTTTTGGTTTGGGTTTGGTTTGGTTTTTTTTAACCTGTGGGAAGACATCATCTTCCATGACAGTACCACCATCTTGGTGCTACCATAAGCCCTTCATTCCCAAGTTGGACTTTCCCAGGGGGACGGCCCTGGAAACATCAGTTCAGCTGCTGCAGAAGCCAACAAAACAGTCCAGGTTTAGCCACTTTCATATCAGTTTTCTCAGTTTTCAGGTAAATAGCCAAGGCTGCTTGTCTGATTGAGGGTCTGTTTTGCAGGACACAATGTTAATGGGAATGTTCTCTTGTGTCATTTCACATCTCTTTAATCAGAAGGGTATTGAAAGTAGATTCCTAATCCTAAAAGAGTTGATAACTAAAGTAATTTTCATTCAATGAAAAGTTGTGAGGCCAGAATTGACTCTACTATGTGTGTGTTCCTGGGAGGGGGGTGTGTGTGTGTGTGTGTAGAAGGGGGAAGGCAGGTTGTGGGTACCGTGAGTGTGTGGTATCACTTCCTGCAGCTCTCAAGTGGTCGTTCCATATCAGACATCTGGGCATATTAGCAGCTGGACCTGTGCCAGGGCTAATCACCTGCCTATCTGCTGCTGCACAGTTTTCTGCCAGAAAATGGAAAAGTTGCGTGTCATTTTATATCATAATTTGATGACACTGCATTATGTTTAAAACATCTAGATGTTAGCATTTAAGATGAATCAACGTATTCCCTAATTTGGAGGAGAATTTGTTCTTTTTGTCTTGGTTTACTTAGAAGTTTTGTGTTTGTGGAAGGGTTCTGAAAGCAGGAAAACGTATATATACCTGACAAGTGTATGAATGAAATTGGGGAAATATCTACAAGCAAACAATTCAACCCCCTCAACCTCCAAGAAAAGGAAAATGAATAAAATTGTGTTGAAATAGAATGTCTTTTAAAGTTATTTTGTCCACAATACTTTTGGTTGTTGATTGGGGTGCTGTAGAGCTCTGTTTTCCTTCAGCCTACATGTAGCTGCTATTATCTTCTCTGATTTCTGCACTGCTTAGGCTGCCAGGTCATAGGTATCTGTGCATAAATGCTATGCGTTATCACTCCCTTATCTTGAACCGCTAATAACTCTTGGCACCTTGGGACAGCCTTCCCCCAACACACACCTCTGGTGTTTAGCTATCAAATAAACTCAGCAAAAATCCCTCCCCTTCTCTCTTCATACTTTCCCTTTCAGGCAATGAGGAAGGTGGGGCATGGTTAAGCCACTTGCTTCTCAGCAGATGACTCCTTAAAGTTTGCAGAGATACTTCGTGAGTCACTGCCAGCTGTTGCCTCTGACAGTGAAGTGACATCCATATCTGACTTGTACGCAGCTGGGAGTACAATGGGATCATACTGGAGTGCTCGTGAGGTAAGAGAGCGAAAATTCAGACCATCATTTATTAGAAGCTGAAGATGACCTGAGGTGGGTTTGTGATTGGGATTATCGTACCTAGAAGAGGACTTGGGAGCGTTAGTCCAGATTCATGTATGTATTTACTTATTTACGTCAGGATGACTGATAGCTTTGCTGATATTAGCTGCCCTGTGGAGGCACTTTTGTTAGCGGAGGGAAGTTCAGCCACAGTGGGTGATCCACGTGGAGGCTGGGAAGCAGTCTGAGGTGCCTCACGGGAGCTTGCTGTGGATTTGGGCTGAATCTGTGGTTTGATGCAAGCATTAAGTTGGGCTCTTCCGCAGTGCAGTGGCTGCCAGCTGTGCCCAGGTAGCTGTGCTAGCAGCCACCGAGTACTGGTGTACGCAGGAAGGTCACTGACTGAAAACAGTGATTAATCATGGATGCAAATATGGTCCTAGTTTGATATTTGTGCATGACTGACACCTAATAAAATCTTGAGCTGCCTTTGTCCATAATCTCTGAGACTATTTTTTCATTATTTTTACTTTTTTTTTGCGCGACATAACCAGGAGGGAAAGCCCTAAAACTACCCGTTGGGCTCCAGGGAGTTAACATACTCCGTCCTCTTCTTAGCTCTGACATTAACCTACTGTTTGACTATGAGAAAGTTATTTAATCATTCTGTGCCCTGCTTCCCCTGTTGTAAAATGGAGATTATAGAGCTTCTCTCCATGACATGGATATATGTTAGCATAAGTGTGCATTGATGCTTGGAGATGTCAAATGTGGGATCCCCATGGTTTAACAAATAAAAAGTGTGACTGTCTAACCAAACTGGTTAAAGAAATGCTAGGGATCTACATGTTCATCCTTTTGAAAAGAGGGGAGAGTAAAGAACAAAGTCTGGCAATGGTCTTCATATGGAAAGTACATGTACAAAACAAGGCACGGGACTGTCCTCTCTGCTCTTCTCCTTGCCCATAGCCACTGAAACAGCCTCATGAGAAAAAGGAGAGGATTCTTGGTGATGGGGACAGGTAGGGGAGCAGGAGAATTATTCACTCAGAACTTGAATCCAGATGGAAGACATGAAAACATGCCCTTCTGTTTTGGAGTGAGACATAAAATACAGACCAAGGTCAGCTTATAATAATTCAGGAGTGATGGGGGAATTTGTATCCGACTTCTCAGCTGGGTCAGTTCCTAACTGGAAGAAGAAAAGGAGTGACATGATCCCCCTAAAGGGATTTAATGGAGTCATTTTGCTACTAGAGTATGGGAGAGGGAATATGTAATGACTTCCAGTGAAGCAATAGCTAAAGTTTCAGGTACTAAAATCTGCAAGATGTAATCATTTGTTTGGCTTGTGTCTAGTTATTTGTCTTTCCTTCTGTGTTTGATGTTTCAGCTAATGATCCTTTTTGCAAATATCCAGCATCTGGTTTTGGTGGGGAAGTTTTGTTAACATCTTTTTCTAAGCTGTTTTATTTTCTGCGTTTGTGCTGGTGGTGCCTCACTCACTGAACAGTTTCATTTCCCTCTGTGGTCATGATGCTTTTGAACATAGCTAAGACACTGAAATGTAAAGCATCATGATTATACATTTTACCATGGATTGTTTCTATTTCCTATCAGTTCTCTGCATCGCCTCATTCTCCCTTTCCTGACTGCAATAACTGAACACCTCACAACCTTTCAGGTATTTGCTCTTCACCATTTCTGGGAAAAGTTCCTGATAAAGATTTTAAATGAAAAGTTGGAATTTTTACTAAATAAAATTATCTGAAGAAAAGATCTGTTTTCCATGTGAAATTTCAAGTCTTCAAGAGAATTAAAATTATTTTATCTTTGTCTACAGATGTTTAATGGAGGTGCTTCTCATGCATGCTAGCTTTTTGCTAGATTATGTTTCCAGCTTAATTGTTGATAAATATTTATTTTAAATTAAAATGTCTTGCCATGTAATGCAAGCATTAATTAAAACCATTTTATTATGTTATCCTTTTACTGTTATTTATTTCATCAATGACACATATACACACACACTTCTTTTGCTGCCTCTTTTTTTTAACTCTACATGGACTTGGTTTTAACTTCCAAAGCAGTGTAAGTAGTTCACCTCCCAGTTTTGCTGCATGGCTTTGAAAATTGCAACACACATTTATGGGAGGGCATGTTTTTTTAAGCATAAACATTTAATATTCGTGCAGGTAATAACTTGGTCATTTTTCTGCAGAATGAAGAATGCCCATGCTGTTCACTCTCTGTGAAAATCATAAGAATGAGAAATCTGAGAAAGGCAGATATCTGTGAGTATCACAGTCTTTCCTTGAGGTTCCCAGTAGTTCAGTTCTGTAAGCAGAGAATACAAGCAAGCGTTGTAACTTGTATCTGTGCATGAAGTGTCACCATGGTTTCAAATATTGATGCATATTTGAATTTGGGCTATTCTTAGAATACAGTTTTGTATAAACAATATATTTCAGTTTACAGAATGTTACTATTAGTGGAAATACCAAAGGTCTATTGTGGTGTACTGTACATTATCTTAACTGCTAACAAGCTTCAGAGCCAGTTTTGCTGAACAAATTCAGCTGTTAATTCTCAGCTGCAGTTTTTGATGCACTGAGATGCAGGCTGCGCCTCTGCTTCTCAACAAAAATACCAGCACTGATGTTGAGTGGCTGCCAGAGCCTGTGGGGTAACATGGGAGCTTTGGTATCATCTTCTGTACCTGTCTGTTTTTTGCAGACAGCAGAAATACATACAGGCACTTCTGAATTTCTATTTGCTAAAGGGGGGAGGGGGGAAAGAAAAAAAAAAAAAAGGACCATTATATATCTCACTGTCAAACAACATTTTCTGTCAAATGTTTACCAAAATATGTTCGAAATACCAGACTTTCAAGGCAAAACCAATGCCATTGAAATGTTTCTGGGGACTTGGTAGAATGGGTGGAAGTGAAGAGAAAAAAATGTCAGCAGTTACACAGGCAGGAGAAAGCGAACTGAAGGCTGACTTAAATACCTGCCTCAGAGAAAAAGAAGAAGGCAGGAACGCAATGGAAAGGGAGTGAATATGAAACTTTGCATATTAAATAAGACCAAGTGAACTCAGCAAGAGTATTTGCCTCCATGGAGATTACTATTCAATTCTTGCTTTGCTGCTGTCGAGCCTAGCACAGGAATATTGTGTTTTCTTAAAACCAGCACATTTTCAGAGAAGAACAAAAGAATGATTCAGTTCCCTCTCCATCTTTTCAATCTCAGATAAGCTGCTTTCTGGCATAAATGATACCAGTCCAAGGCAGTGCCTAAGTTGCCCTGACAGCCAGTAGCATCAAGATAACCACCGACAGAGTTGATAAGCAAATATCTGCCTCTGGCCTTAAAATCAGGGATGTTTATTTCTTTCTCAGCATTTTATAATGATTGGAAATGACACTTTTACATTCTTTTGGAGGAAAGAACTTGCAGAAATCCATAGCTATTTATCTTAGCTCTTTATTTTTCATTAGTGTTTATCCTGCATCTTCATTCTGAGCAGATGTTTGACTGCCTGATTGCAGGTATGAAGCTGTATCACTGGAGATTTGCTTCCAAAGCCAGATGTGGAGGACGGTCTGTGCTGGCAAGAGCCAGAAGAAGCAGTGCTAGGTGCCAGGGTCTGAAAGGAGCAGCCTCGTTCATTCCCCATCCCAGCTGCCTTTCTTTATCGTACAACAGAGCACCACATTTTATGTTGCCTCTGAGAATCAAGAGCAAGTTACTTGTGGCACAGCAGAGAGCCAGTGAGATTTTTTCTGCACCATACCTGTATACTCTCTCAGAGCACTTAATTTTGTTAGCGAAGCCATGCCACGTGGCATTACACACATCACAAGAAATGAGACTGTATTAAAAAAGCATTAAACTGAATTTGAAAACCAGTGTGAGAGTGTAGTAGGAACCTTAGAGCCTGTAGACCATCCTTCCATTCTTGACAAAAATGTTGTGCAGCGAGATTTTAACACCTAAGCAATGAGAGAAGTCCTCAGAGGAAGGGATCCAAAGGCACTTGTTAAAAAACTGTCACGGAAGAGAGAGATATTGGCATGTACAGCAAAGTTCAGTTTGTAGTCTATACCAAGTTCAGAGTGGCTTAAGTTGAATTGCATTTATGAGCAGTGAGACAAGTGGAGACTTTGAAAGCAAATTGGGGAATTCAAAACTATGCATTTCATTGCACATAAATAGAGTCACTTGAATGTAGCAACAGTGATTTAAGAAGAAAGATAACTAGTTAGCCCTACATATCTGTGTTTCTGTAGATATTTACTTTCCTAGGATTAGTCTTCGCTCAAAAGTGATTTTTTTAAAAAAATATTTTTGTGAGAATGTATTTGTCATGTAATTAATATATTTATTCAAATATTTGTAAATATTTGAAATATGTTTGGCTCAAAATATATTTTAGGAAAAGATTATATTTCCCACTCACATTTATTTGTTTTAATCACTGTTTCTGTATAATTTAAAGTTGTTAAGAGAGACAGACATGAGGATGGAGATTTGAAAGATGGCGCAGGAATAATTCAAACTGCAAAGAGCCATTGGTGCTTTGTTGGAGTCAGAGTCTGATTAGACCAAGCTGTGGTTTTTGGAAGACTGCCTGTCAAAGATGAGTATGCTTTGCTTTTCTTCAACTGTGGCATTGTGCAGCTAAAGTGTCCTCCTTGTGCAGAGGGACTGCTACCCACAACCCACAGTGTTGATGCCTCCTTAGGTCTTGCATGTCATGTAATATAGGACTTGGGTTTTTATTACAGGATAGCTGTGGCAATCATCTATAATCATGATCTCCTGACCTTTTCCCTTTGTGTCAGACAAAAGGTTGCATTTGTACATGGTGTGAGCATAATAACAACAATTAGACCACTAATGTGTGTTGAACTCTGATAGGAATAAAGCTTACTCGTGAATCAGAAGGATTTGCTCTTACATTATGTAGGTTATCAGGCAACTACAATCTGAGTAGTACATACCATTCCCGAGACGCTGTTGTTGCAATTGCTGGGCATGTTTGAGTTTGGCTAAATTTTCCCTGTCAAAATTTGTAAGAATAGTGATACCAGACCAGTCCAAAGTCTCATCTGGATCAACAGTATGTCCCCAGAACTGGCCTATAATAAATGCTTTTGGACAAGGCAAACACTGAAGCATGCTTTCCCCACTCTCCCAAGAAAGAGATTTGTGCTTCATGAGGTCTGTGGCTCAGGGATCTGTCTCCTGAGTCAAAAGTAGTGTTTGCATTTAATTACCATACCCAAAATGCTTGGCACTTTGAGGCCACTGAGGGATTTTACTTCGATATCTTTCATTCTGCACTGGACAGGAACCCCCGTGCTCTTTCTCAGTATCATAGGAAAACACCAGGCCTAGTTTCAGGATGTTATTCTTTGGGGAGGTCTATATACTTATATTGCTAATTAAATAGTTAATTAAATAGTTAGGGCCATTTCTTCTGTCTCTTCTTTGCCTTGCATGGCCAGCAGAAATGCCTACTTAAGCAAAGCTGGTCCTTTTCAGGCTGGCCTGAAAAGGCCTTTTCTGCATATTAGTTAGGGTTAGCTCTTACACAAAGGCAACTGCCCCCTTGTATTTATTCTAAAACCAGCAGAAAACTTACTGTTAACAGCTGCGTGACTCCAGCTGTCTCTTGCTTTAAAACTGTGAAAGCTTTGTGGCTGTCACAAACTTTCATGAATGCATCCACCATTTCTGCAAAATCTCAATCCGCTGCCTGGATGGTGCTATTTCTCTGCAACTGTATAGGATGGTATGTGGAGATTTTGGACAAAAGTATTTAATTGCCCATAGTCTGAATATTGATCATAGACTCATAGAATGGTTTGGGTTGGAAGGGACCTTAAAGATCACCTAGTTCCAACCCCCCTGCCACGGGCATCCCACTGGGCTAGCCTGAGGCACCAGCAAAATAGGGAGCCATCGGCAGCATCAGGAGCACAAGTCGCAAGCTGAGGTGCCTGGGCTCTCCACGTTCCTGCACCCCCGTTGCAGTGCACAGAGACACAAGAACGGCTGCGCTGGGTCAGACCAAAGGTCTCTCCTGCCCTGTGTTTGAGAGCAGCCAAAGGCAGGTGCCTGGGGAGGAGTACGACAGTAGGTAAATTTCTAGACCTAATACAGTTTTTCTATGAATGCAGCAACACATCCAGTCTACTCTTGCACCTACATAAACTCTCTGCACCAACAACAGTCTTTGTACAGCCTCTGGTTTCCATGTCACAAAAACCTTTGCTGCAATCTCATTGCCTCATCCTTGTAGTGGCATAAATCAGTTTTGCCTTCACTGCTGAAAGGCCTTGAATTTGCTCTACCATACAGTGACTTCCCATGATCTTCCCTTACTTTCCCTGTCAGCTGACGTAGTGGAGATTGACTTTCAGAAGGCTTCCACCATGGGTGAAGGGACTGGTTGTTGCAAAACTCTTTTTTTCCAAGGGCTGGCCCACCAGCCAATATCACTGGAAAAGGGCATAACTTTCATCTTCAAGTTCCCCCACCCATTTCTTCACAGAAGCCTTTGAAGACCCCTTAAAGCCACCTTTATGCTGGGCTCTCCATTTCCACCATTTAACCACAGGAGAGTTTCTTTCTGGAGAAGCTTCTCTGCTGGCCAAGTACCACTGCATTTCACCCCCTGTGTGCCGATTATAACAAGGACTAGACCCACACTAGTGTAAATTCCTCAGAGCAGATCTTGTTTTCAGCATGGCTGCCCAGACCTGCCTCGCTGTGCACGGTCCTGTCAGAGCACCGCTGGCCCTCGCTGTTCCTAGAAGCTGCCACTGCAGTCACAGCAGGGCATGGGCTGCTTCACACAGTGGATAAATCTGGTTTAGTGCAGCACTTTTCTCAGTGGCAGGGTTCACTGATCTTCCAGGATGGAAAAGAAATATCTTCTACACTGCAAATTGACAGCTATGGGAGAGAAACTGGTTTGTTTCAAGGGCTATGAGTGAAATACAAATTGTGTTTTCTATATACATATATTTCACAGAAATATTCCCTTCAGGAGACAAAAAATGTCTTTAAAAATACTGTCTTGCCCTACTTTGTATTTAGCAAAGTCCAAGGTTTCAGAAAACTTTTCCTAGAATGGCCTACAGCTACTTTTTTTTTTTCTTTTTTCTTCTTCTTTAATATGACAAACTAATCTCAATCAATCAGCATTCTCATTAGCAAAAGTCTTAGGCTTGTCTTTAACTATAGTACTAAATCCAGCTCTTCTTAAATCTGGGCTTTGT